CTTCATATGCTCATGGGGCAAAACTCAAAATAAGAATAAACAGCTGAAAACATACATTAAAAATCAGAACTTGGAATGTACCAAGAATGGATCTAAGGAAAATGAAGGTCTTCAAAAATGAAGTGGAAAACATAAATATTGATGTCCTAAACATTAATGAGCTGAAATGAACTGGTATTGGTCACTTTGAATCTGAAAATCATACTATGCCAGGAATGAAAAATTAAAGAGGAATGATGGCATATTCATCATTATAAAGAGCATTTCAAGATCTATCCTGAAGTACAATGTTATCTGTGATAGGATAATATCCAATTGTCTATAAGACAGATAAGATAATATCATTATGGTTAAGTTTTATGTACCAACCACTAAAGTCTGTTGTTAAGTACCATCGACTGCGACTCACAACAATCCTGTACAAGGTTTCCAAGGAGCAGCTGGTGGGTTTGAACAACCAACCTTTTGGTTCACAGTCCAGTGTTTAACCCCATACCAGGAATCCACCAATAAAGGTAATGATCATCAAACTGAAGAATTCTAAGGAGCTCTGGTAGCATAGTGGTTATGAGTTGGGCTGCTAATCTCAGGGTCAGCAGTTCGAAACAACCAGCTGTTCTATGGGAGAAAGATGAGGCTTTCTGATCCTGTAAAGATTTACAGCCTCAGAAACCCTATAAGGGGTCTCTATGAGTCAGAAATGACTCCACATCACATAACCACCACCAACAGAAACATTTTCAGTCTGAAATTGATCAAGCGTGCAATGCATTGATAATTACTGATGATTAGAATGTGAAAGTTGGAAACATAGAGGAAGGATTGTTGTTGTTGTTAAGTGCCGTCGAGTCGGTTCCTACCCATAGCGACCCTATACAGGGTTTCCGAGGCTGTAAATCTTTACGGGAGCAGAGCGCCTCATCTTTCTCCCGCTGACCAGCTGGTAGTTTCGAACTGTTGGCCTTAAGGTTCGCAGCCACTACACTACCAGAGCTCTGGAAAATATGTCCTTTGTGATATAAACGGTGATAAGGATCACATGATAGAATTTTGCAAGATCAGTGACTTCTTCATTGAAAATACCTTTTTACAACAACATTAAAGGAGACTACACATGAACCTCACCAGATAGAATACACAAGAATCAAAATTTACTACATCTCTAGGAAGAAATGATGGTGGTGGTTATGTGCTGTGGAGTCGGTTCCGACTCACAGCGACCCTGTACAGGGTTTCCGAGGCTGTAAATCTTTACAGGAACACGGAAATCTGTAAATCTTTTCTCCCACAGAAGAAATGGTAGAGAAGTTCAATATCAGCTGAAACAAGGCTAGGGATTGACTGTGGAATGGGCCATCAGCTACTCATATGCGATTTCAGGCTGAAGCTGAAGAAAATTAAAGTTAGTCCACAAGAGCCAAAATACAACTTTAAGTATATCTTATCTGAATTTAGAGACCATCTCAAGAGCAGAATTGATGCATTTGACACTAATGACCGAAAACCAGAAGAGATATGGGATGACATTAAGAGCATTATACATGAAGAAAGCAAAAGGTCATTAAAAAGACAGAGTCATTGGACCAAAAAGAACTGGCTGGTGCATTCTACCATTTCAAGAGACAGCATATGATCAAGAATATGACTGTATATTCCTTCCCTATTCTTTTGATGCGTTCTTCGTCATTCAATATTTTGCCCATTGTTGTTGTTATGTGCCGTCGAGTCGGTTCCGACCCATAGCAACCCTGTATGGGGTTTTCAAGGAGCAGCTGCTGAGCTTGAACCGCCGACTTCGCAGTTCAAACGACATTGCAGTCTGGCGCATTAACCCACAGCGCCACACCAGGACTCCATTTTGGCCATAGAATACTTCAACATAGCAATTCGAGGCTTGAATTTTTTTCTTCAGTTCTTTTGTATTGGGAAATACTGAGGGTGTTCTTTTTGTTTGATTTTCTAACTCCAGAATGTTTTACTTTTTATTATAATACTTTACTTTGTTATCTCTAGCTGCCCTTTGAAATTTTCTTATCAGCTCTTTTACTTCCTCATTTCTTCCAATTGCTTTAGCTTTCCTATTCTCAAGAGCAAGGTTCAGAGTTTCTCTGACTTGCAGTTCAGTCTTTTTTTTTCCTTTCCTGTCTTTTTAATAACCTTTTGCTTTCTTCATGTGTAATGCAAATCTATAGACTGGCAAATATAATTTATAATTATTATTCTGGCATAGTCTAAAATATATAAAGGAAGTACACTGTTTTGAGGCCACTTACACACACCCTTTCAATAAGGAAAAGATAAGTATGGAAAGAGCCAACTAGACCAATAAACAGCTTTCAGTCCAGAAAATACCAGTTCACAGGCTTTTGTTCAGGCAAGTCCAAAGCTTCAATCACTCTCTTCAACAACCTTCTCTGGCTCAGCAACTTGCTGCAGGCTTTCCTATCTGCATCTTATAATTTTCATCAGGTTTATTCTATTTTCAGATTGCTGTTTCTCACTTTGAATGCTGCTTGAAACTTTATGGAATAAAGTTTTGGCTACTGAATCCTGGCTTACAACTCAATTTTTATCCTATAGTTAAGTTACCTGGGTTGAACTCCCAGACTCTGAATTTCATGCGTGGACTTAACTCTGCATTCCAACACTGACTCTTAGCAACACAGGCATTATCACTTAAATCCAAGAAAATACAGATACTTAGATGGCTGTCTTAACAATTTTGAGAGGAGTAGTTTATTGAGATTTAAGTGTGGACTCTGGAGCAGGCTATCTACGTTGGATTTTAATTCTGTCTCTTACTTGTTATATGACCTTGGACACTATTTAATTTCTTTGTACCTCAGTTTTCTTTTCCATAAAACATAGACAGTGATAACTATACCTATTCTCATAGGTTTATTGTGTTGATTCTGTAACACATGTAAAGTATTTATAATAGGGCAGTAAGTTAACTCTCAATGTTATTATCATTGTTGGTGTTAAGTGCCGTTGAGTTGTTTCTGACTCAAAGTGACCTGGTATAGGGTTTCCAAGGAGCAGTTGGTGAGTTTGAACCTCAGACTTAGAAGTCCAAACCGACCTTGCAGTCTAGTGCTTTTCCTGTTATCATTAGTATGTTATGATTATGGAAATGATAAACAAAGTTATTGACCCTTCCATGCCCCACAAATTTGCAAGCAAGGTAGCATACTAGAATTAATCACTCATTCCCCACCTACCATATCACCCATATACACAAACACACACACACACACACACCCCTAAAATCATACTTGATGCTAGATTAGGAAGAAAAAATTAAATGGTATCCTCTCTAGTTTTCTTAAGTCTTCAACATTTTTCTTTGTTTTGTTCTGTTTTTAACATTTTCTAAAATATATTTTAAAAATGATGCGTATGTAGCATAAAAAATTCCAGTAGTATTAATTTTTTTTTAATTCATTAATTTAAAACATACTAATTAAGTGTTAAGCACTGATCTAAACATTGGGGACTTCATAGTGAGAGGATTTTAAAAAAAACAACCAGAAAGAATGCTCACTTTTAAGAATTTTTTCAATGCTTTGGTGAAAACAGATGAAAAGCTAGAAACTAAATGTATGGCATGTCAGCACTTCCTGGTGAAATGTTCCAGGATCAGAGCTGGACTTGTAACCACAGTCTGGCATTTCAAACTGACCAGCTGTTCTTCAAAAACATGATACAGAATTGCTGTGTGGGAAACCAACTCAACAGCACCTAACAATAACAATATGTCAGCAAGTAGTAAAGACATGAAGAAAAGTTTTTATCAAGATGGCAATATATTAAAGATTGTTCAATCCTGTCTTAGTCTTTTGATGCAGTTTCTCCTTCACAATTATTCTAACACAAATAGGAAAGGCAGGCATTTATTTCTTTGTCAGGTAAACTAGAATGAGCTGTCTCACATACATTTACACCCATTATAAACATGTTTGTATGTTTTTATTGTTGGTAAATGCCCTTGAGTCAGTTCTGACTCAAAGAGACCTATGTAGGGCTTCCAAGGTTTTTAAAATCTTCACGGGAGCAGTAAGTCTCATCTTTCTCCCATGGTGGGCTCGAACCTGAGGCCTTGTGGTTTTTAATCCAGTGCTTATTGTATATATAGTTATAATTCAGATGAAAACTTTAATGACAGAGAAGAAAGAAAAATGTACTCTTCAGAAGGGAATACAGGTATTAGCAAATGAGGTTCATTAGTCAATGCCAGAAGAAGAAATGAGGAATGCCAGATACAGAATTTTAAGTATATGCCATCTATTTGTTAAACCTTTACTCATCACAGAAATTCAATGAGTCATGTGTTATTATTTCCACTACTTTAAAATGAATAAACTAAGCTCAAAAGAGATTGAATAACTTGCTAATGATCTATGCTAAGATCTGTGCCCATCACTTGTTAACTTTAAAATCAGTTTTGCCCTGCCGTTGAGACTCTGAGGAAATGTAAGGTTATGAGTTCCTCATTTGACCAGGTTCTTGGTGTGAACTTGGTATTTGACTGGCTCCCCATAGATCAAAGTGTACCTTAGCAAACAATACAAGTAATTGTATTGCAAAGGTATAGATTTCACATGGAGGATAAAAATGCTGTATTATTTCTCTGAAATATTAAGACTAATCTGTTTAACATTTTTCTTTTAAATCCTTCCAGGATTTGTTTGATAAAATAAATTGAGTTCGTATGTAAAAAGGGAGAAAGGAGTTCAAACAAGGAAGCAGCTAGTGTAACACTTAATTCACTTCAATTATAAAGTAGATGGTCAACTCTAAAGAGGAGCAAACATTATTAGTAACATGTTTGTGTCTTCAATTTGCATTAGAATCCACTGATTGAGTTTGGTTAAAGTCACAAATATCTCTAATGCTGTAATAATTACTTCTACTTAAAGATAATGGATGGGTTTGATATTTCTGTCACATTTCCAATTTTGATCCTGATTCTTATTTCTGTTTTAAATATTAAAATCTTCATGGCTAAAGTACCTAAGCGGAATTTTCCTCCAGGACCAAGAACATTGCCAGTTATTGGAAATCTGCATATTCTCAATCTGAAGAGGCCATATCAAACCATGCTGGAGGTAAAAGAAAAAAAAAGTGATCTCGTGCATAATTATATTTCTAATTCATTTGTGCCCTCATGGGCTTATTAACATGCATGCATTTATAAGTGGTTCATATATGTATAATGAGGTAACAGATAGAATTCAGAGCTGCTTTAAATGAAAATTTTAGTTGCTTTTTGATTTATAGACATAAAAATATTAGTAAACATATTTTTAGTCCTGAAAGTGTTCCTACTGTGAAATATTTATGATCAGTAACTTTAATCTCAACTGCTTTGTATCTACGTTGTTTTTCTGTTTTTTTCACATAATGTTGATGTTGATAAGCACCTTGGAGTTGGTTCCAACTCATAGTAGGCCTGGATAGGGTTTCCAAGGAGCATCTGGTGGATTTGAACCACTCACCTTGTGGTTTGTAGTCTATTGCTTATTCTATAGTGCCATGCCAGAAGTCCTTTTCATATAATAACCTACTGCTAAGAATTGAATTGTGATAATTGGTTGGTTATGTGCCATGCAGTCGGTTGCGACTCATCGCAAACCTGCATAGGGCTTCTGAGGCCAGAAATCTTTATGGGAACAGAAAACCTCATCTTTCTCCCACAGAACAGCTGGTAGTTTTGAACTGCTGACCTTGAGGTTAGCAGCCCAACTTGTAGCCACTGTATCTTTCTTTAAAGCTTTCTAATGAACTGTTCAAAAGCGTATATTAAAAAGGCACAATGAAGATACAGACACTAGAAATTAAGATAGAAAATTGTTATGCCATTAATCCTTGGTCTGCCATTAATTAGATATGTTTATTATTAAATATAATGATTTAGCCTCTATTTTCATGCCCTTATCTGCAAAGTTATAAGACTTTATCAAAACAAATTTATCTTTCATTATAAACATTCAATAGTTATTGGTTGTGGAGTAGATGGATTAATATAAAGATATATTCATATTTACAGAGTTGGATATTTATGGTGTTTGGCCATAAATTTCTGTTTTTAAGTTCTGAAGGGCAGATTACTGATGTTGAGTTTTGCTATATCCCATAGAATCTTAGTTTGAAAATGTGCTAAAAAGAAGAGTAATATTTACTTTAATAAACAACAAATTATAATAGCACATGACATTCCTATAGGAATTTGTATTTAAAAAGGACGGCACAATAATTCAATGTGTTAGCTGTTATTTTTTCCTTACTTGAAAATGAAGATGCTAAAACATAAAAGTGGTTAAATAATCTCTTTTATCTGCTCTTCACAACCACCAAAACCCCACCAAACCTACTGCTATGGAGTTGATTCCTACTCATAGCTATCCTAAAGGACAGAGTAGAACCGTTCCCTATGGTTTCTGAGGCTATAAGCCTTTATCGAAGTAGATTGTCTCATCTGGTAGGTTCTACCTGCTGATCTTTTGGGTAGAAAGAAGCCCCATGCTTAACCCACTGTGCAACCAGGTCTCATTTTCACATCTGTTGTTGTTGTTGTTAAGTGCCTTCAAGTCAGTTCTGAATCATAGTGACCCTCCATCGTATGTTTTCTTAGTGGTTGTTGGTTTTTTTGCACCATCCTGGGGTTTTTTTCCTGCATCATCCCAGGAGGATGTTGTTGTTGTTAAGTGCCATTGAGTCATTTCCTGTCCATAGAAACCCTGTATAGAGTTTCCAAGGAGCAGCTGGTGAGTTTGAACCAATATCCTTGCAGTTCAAAGTGACCTTGCAGTCCAATGTGTTATCCTACAACGCCATCATAGTGGTAAATAGGGGGATAGTCTTTGCATCTCCATTTTACAGATAAGTGAATTAGAGGACTTACTAGTAACTAGAAGTCTCTTTTTCTGTTTTATGGCTGTTTCTCCACATAACAGGTTAATTTCTCAAAAGACCAAACCCTTCTTTAAGTAAGATCCTCCATCTAATTCCAGGTGCCACAACAAAATTTGTTTCCACAGCATTTTTATTATTCCCTTCCGTATTAATCAGAATATTTTAATCTTTCTCATCTTTATCTCAGTGCCATTGTTCTGATTCTACCTACAAGACATCCTTTCACTTTTTCCCTCAATCTCTGTTTGCCATTTTATGTTAAAATTTGCCACTTCAGATTTTTTTCTTTGTCTGATATGCTACTATTGCCCATATTATATGCAGTGGTCTCATCTGAAAGTCTCTCTCCTCAGCATCTCAAATTCCCATTTTAATTTTCTGTATCCATCATTTTAATCTTTACAATATCTTCTAAATTACTGAACCCTTCTGTAATTCCTATCTTGATTTCTAATTATGTTTTCTAAGATCAAAATTCTTAAAGAAACTAACATTAGAAATCACCATCTCATACTCCATCTAGACCTCAGTCAGGTTAAGTTCATGGACTTTGCAGTCAGCCTGTATGTGAACCTCTTGCTGTTCATCACCATGTACTTCTTAAAGCTACTGTAGGATCTTGTCTATATAAAAAAGATAATATCTATGTCATTGGCTTGCAGTGTACATTAAGGGTGTTAGGAATATAAGCAATAGGTAATGAATGTTGGCTTTGTTACATTTTGATTTGCAAACAATATGGGATTTTATTATTATTAAGTGTCACAGAATAACCCAGAACTAACTTGGGTCTGCTCTGGTGATAGAAAAAACAAGCGTATGGCATGAGTGCAGTGACTAAGTATGGTCCGGAGATCAGAGAGGTGATCAAGAAAAGTTCTGAGTATTTTCTGAGACCAAACAACAACAAAAAATACAGGCAGAAATTATAAATTGATTTCATAATGTCAGAGCACATTTGCTATAAAATCTCAAATAAAATGGCATAAAATAATATCAATCTCTTGATGATCACAATAACTATGGTTCAAACAGGTGTAACAACCACAAGAGATTTTTTAGTGCATTTATCCAATGTACTCAACCTATAAGGTCTTAAAACCGGTTAGTTTGTTGAAATTAACTAAATTACTAAGTCTCAAAGTCAGATTCACTTTTTACTACAGTATAATGTTTGAATTGCTTCTCTTTTTTTATTATGTGCTACAGCTCTCCCAGAAATATGGTTCCATTTACAGCATTCAAATGGGGCCAAGGACAGCAGTGGTGCTCTCTGGCTATGACACAGTGAAAGATGCCCTGGTTAATTATGGTGATCAATTTGGGGAACGATCTCACGTGCCTATCTTTGAAAAACTTTTTGAAGGGAAAGGTAATATAAATCCTAAACTTAAAATATATCTTCATGATTAAAATTATTAAATCATTGACACTATATTCTCTTATGTAATCACTTTCAAGGATGAATTCTTCTTCATGTAAATAAAGTAGAGAAATATTTTTGAATGAGATAATTAACTCAATGAAACAAGGAGCTACTTAGGAGAAATTTATCCTTTGTGGTTTTTATTCTCATCATACATGATAATTAGTACTTCAAAAGAAGACAATTGACATTTTACTAGGTGAAAAGTATATTGTTGTTGTTATGTGCCATTAAGTAGGTTCCTACTCATAGCAATACAGTATAGGGTTTCCAAGGAGCACTGGTAGGTTTGAAACACTGACCTTGTGGTTAGCAGTACTGTGTTTATCCTACAGGCCACACCAGAACTTAAAAAATATGTTGTTAAATAATGTGGAGTTGGTTCCAACTCACAGTGACTTTGTATAGGGTTTCCTAGGAGCTGCTTGGTGAGCTTGAAACACCTACCTTTCAGTTCAAACAGACTTTGCAGTCCAGTGCACTTACCCACAGCACCATACCAGGACTCCAAAAAGTATATTGTTATTGTTGTTTTTATTAAGCACCATCAAGTTGATTGCAACCCATAGTGACCCTGTATAGGGTTTCTGAGGAGTGGCTGGTGAGCTTGAAAAAGTATATTAGATGGTAAGAAACTACAAAGATAAAGGCAGCAGAGGTCATTAGCTTAAAGAGCTTGAGATCCAATAGTAGACATAGATCCATGGGTTACAAAGATACTTAATCATATTTTCACCTGGTCAAAACTGATGTACCTTGTTCATGTGAGTCTTTGCTAACTTTGATGGCCTGTCACTAATTTAATAACTTATTTTAAAACGGGAGTTATTTCACCTTGATATTAACAATATTTTAATAAAGTAATATTGATTCATTGATGAATAACCTTTTTGGTGCTACAACAGCCTTTTTTAAAAAAGCATTTCCCAACTGTGTTCCTCAAAAAATAAAACAAAAAACACTAGTTCCTCAAAAGATTAGTTTTCCATAGAAGAGGCAATGAAGTCAATTTGAGAAATACTTCATATGATGTTGTTGTTGTTAAGTCCCATTGAGGCAGTTTCAACCCATAGTGACCCTATATAGAATTTCCAAGGAGTGACTGGTAAGCTTGAACTGTCGACCTTGAGGATACAATAGATCTTCCTTTACAGTCATAGTGCACATCACATATTAAGGACTCTGAAGAAAAAGTAACAGCCTATATAGTTTCATTCAATCCATTTTTCTAACTCATTTGTCCTTCAAACATTTCTTTTCTTTGGAATTCCCATTAACGACTTACAAAATCACCACTGAGGAACAACACTATGTTCAAGATCCCTGGTTTGTAATTTCCAGTATTCATTCCCTCCCCATCTCCCCATATTCTAGAAATGGGACACTTTCCTATCATCTGACTCTGGCATATCTGCTATTTTTCATGATAACTCAAATATTACTGACTGATTGTATGATACTGCACAAGACTGTTTTAATGTTTACCTGTATCAATTTTCAATTTTTTACTCAGATTATTACTCTGGACTGCAAAGTCCATTTGAATCACAAGGTTGGCTGTTAAAGCTCACCAGTCACTCTTTGAAAACCCTATACTGGGTTGCTATGGCTTGAAAGCACTTAAAAACAACAACAAAATTGATTAAACACAATTTCTTAAAATACCCTAACTGAGCATGTTGTTGTTTTTAAGTACTGTGATGTTGGTTCCTACTCATAGTAACCCTGTACAGGGTTTCCTAGGAGCAGCTGATGTGTTTTAACCACCACATTGCGGCTAGCAATCCACTGTCTATTCTACAGCACTGCAGTAGAATTTAGCATGATGGTGGTGGTGAGCCGTGGAGTCAGTTCTGTGAAATAACGACCTTATATAGGGTTTCCGAAACTGTAAATCTTTATTGGGAACAGAAAGTCTCATCTTTCTTGCAGCGGAACGGCTGGGTAGTTTTTTCAAACTACTGACCAAGAGGTTAGCAGCCCGACTCGTAACCACTAAGCTACCAGAGCTCCCTAGAACTTAGCATACACCAGCCAAAAACCAAAATCACTGATCTCCAGTGGATTCTGACTCATTGTTACCCTATGGAAAAGGGTAGCACATCCCCATAGGGCTTCCAAGGCTGGAAATCTTTCCAGGATCACTCTGCCACACCTTACTCCTGTACAACATAGGTAGATTTGACCATTTAATCTTTCCGTTAGCAGTGCAGCACTTTAATCCTGCTGTTGTTGTTAAGTGAAATCAACTGGTTTCTGACTCATAGTAACCCTGTATAGGGTTTCCAAGCATTAACTAGTAGGTTTGGACCACTGACCTTGGGGTTAGCAGTTCAGTGTTTATCCTACAGTACCGTACCAAAACTCCATGGGAGAGCATTTTTCAAAGAGGAAAATGCAGTTTCCCCCAGATCTAGTGATTCAAAAGCATTCAAAGGAGGATTCGCATACTTTAGATCTCCACACCAACACAAAACAAAAAATCCCAAATCCACTGCCATCGAGTTGACTTAGACTCATAGTGACACTATATAACACAGTAGAACTGCCCATAGAGTTTCTGCGGCTGTAAATCTTTATGAAAGCACGCTGCCACGTCTCTTCCCCACAAAACGACAGTGGGTTGGAATCACAGACATTCCAGTTACCAAGCAAGCACTTTAACTATTATGGCACCAGAGTCCTTCCATACTTTAGACAAACTCAGTAAAAACAACAAACAAACAAAAAAAATTAGTATTTTTGTCCTGGGCTGGCACTGTAGGATAAGCACTGAATTGCTAACCACAGGGTCAGCGTTCAAAGCTACCATTAGCTCCTTGGAAACCCCATTTAGGGTCGCTATGTGTCAAAACTAACTGGACGGCACTTAACAAAATAATTCATTTCTGAGTATTTTTTCATTTTTCTCAAAGTGTTAGTATATGCCCCAACTCCTTAAGGAAATTCCCCTTGACTTATCAATATTTCCCAGACTAATGTTTGTGTTTCCTTTATCCATTCACAAGTTCACAAATCCATTCATTCAATAAATATAAGGGTAAGTCAAAAAAATATTGCTGCTTGGGTTCCAGTTTCTACATGTACAAGTATATTCCAAACAAAGTATGTTTAAACATGCCTTTGTGATCAGTATAGCCCTGGTGTGGCACTACTAGGATAAACATTGAACCACTAACTGCAAAGTAGGAAAATCAAACCCACCAGCGACACTTGGAAACCGTCTACATGGCTGCCATGAGTCTGAACTAACTCAACAACACAGGACAGCAACCATACAACTGTGGTCAGCGGATGGCTGCAGATAAATTTTCTCAATAAACACTTGCCTTAATCTCAGTGAGGTGCCTTACAAAACAAAAAAGGTACAGTCAACAGTGACTTCTGAGGTGATCAACTAGGCCAATTAGATTCAAAGCAGAGAAGTCAGTTCAAAAATTTATGGCAATCAGGAATATTCAACCATTTAAACAACAAAAGGGCACACCCTGCAAGTCCAGCCCCTGTCGTGAGTGCTCCGGTGTACATCCAAAAATAAAGAGGGAATGGAAGCAAATGCTGTTGAATGATGATGATGATGATGACGCATGGAAGGGATTGTAATCGTTGCAGTGGAATGAATTATGATGGGATTAATGTAAAGCTATCGTAATTCATCCCATTGCAACGATGACAATCCCTTCCATGCGTCATCATCATCATCATCATTCAACAGCATTTGTTTCCATTCCCTCTTTTTTTTTTTTTTTTTTTTTGGAGGTATGAATTACGATAGGATTAATATAAAGCTAAGGAGCTCTGATAGCGTAGTGGTTACGAATTGGGCAGCGAGACACAAGGTCAGCAGTTTGAAACTACCAGGTGTTCCTTGGGAGAAAGATGAGGCAGTCTGCTCCCGTAAAAATTTACTGCCTCAGAAACCCTATGCAGGGTCACTATGGGTCGGAACCGACTCCATGGCATATAACAACAAATGTTAAACTGATGTTCTCCCAAGTAAACTCTCACCCAATTCACAATAAATAAAATTTAAAAAGTTGTGGCAACTGTTCTGAGGCTTCCAGAGGGGCCATCTGACAAAAGGAAAACCCTTTTTAGAACTTATTGAATCTTCTCTAGCATGGTGTGAGCATACAGTTGATACTAAAAAACTGCTTATTGAATAAAGTTTTTAAAATTACTAGGTGATGACTTTTAAATGCTTTTTCAATTATCAGGAATTACTTTCTCTCATGGTGAAACGTGGAAAAGTATGAGAAGATTCAGCTTGACTACTTTAAGAAATTTTGGGATGGGCAAGAGAATCATAGAAGACAAAATTATAGAGGAATGTCAGCATCTCATACAAAACTTCAAGTCACAGAGAGGTAAATACAGCAAATCAAACCTTGTCTGCTTTTTCACAAGAAAGAAGTCATCTAAAAGTACTTTTTGAATTCGTTATTTTGATCTAATTTTAGATTTGTAGAAAAATTCCAAAAATATACAAAGCAGATTCCCCAAGTGTCAACATGTAACATTTCTTGCTTTCTCTTATGATCTCTCTCCCTTTCTCTAGTTTTCTTTCCCTCTGGCTCACTCTTTATATACAGGTATATATATATATATATATTTTTTTTTTTTTTTTTTTTCCTAAAGAGTGCATTTCAGTTTTCTTACAAAAAACTTTGGAAAGAATTTAAAATCAGAAAATTGACATTGGCATAATATTATCAAGTCTGCACACATTACTCTGATATCACCAATTTTCCCAATACTGTCCTTTATCTCAGAAGAAAACTGTGGATCATGCATTACATTGAGTGTTATTTTATCATTGCCTCCTTTAATCTAGAGCAACTCATTGGTAAAAGGCATGTTCTTTTATATCTTTAAATAAATTCGCAAGTATGTGTTACTTCTACAACTTTTCTATTGCTTTGTTGTATTGTGGTGGCTTGTGTGTTGCTGTGATGTTGGAATCTATACCACCAGTATTTTAAATACTAGCAGGATGACTCATGGTGACCAGATTTCTTTGGAATTTTCAGACTAAGACAAACTAAGAATAAA